CAAAGCTCGGGGAGGAGAGTGGGGGAGTGTGTGGTGTGGGGGTGGGGGAGGGGGGGCCAGCCGAGTGACTGGATAAGTCACAGTGCAACGCCTACGCGCTAGGCGCTGCACTTTACAAGTGTGGCGCCCGAGCGCTAGGCACTGCACATTACATGTGTGGCGTCTAGCACGGAGGCGTTGCACTGCTGGGTGCGGGCCCAGGGGTTGCCACGGTGGACTGATGTGCAACGCCCCCGTGCTAGGCGCTGCACAGTAGAGTGTGGCGCCGTCGTGGCGGACGCTACACAAAAAGGTTAGGACTGTGAAATAGTTTCACGGTCAGTTCATTCCGTGAATTAATTTCGTCCATAGGTCAAAATGGTCAAATTTGCCGGTTTAATCTGCAGGTTCCTTCCTAGGGAAGCCGCGTGATTTTGCCTTCGGAATCGACCCTTTCCATTTACTGAGACTACCGTGACGACTTATCATGGGGCCTTGGGGCCTGGGGCCTGGGGCCTAAGGCCTGGCTTTTATTTAACATGCACGGAATCGCGCCATACGAACCAAGAGGCTGTCACAATGTACAGTAGTAGAGGTTGATCAAACTAGCAGTTTTTTTTAGCATCAGTACAGACACAAGCGCTCATATATACGCGCATATACTCATCCCTATGAACGCACATACGCACACCCTACCCCTATGAGCACCTCTGAGAGACTGAGCCGGCATATCATCTTGAGATTTACGACGTCACCGTAGGCGTCTCGTTGTCGACGGGAACGGCTCCTCCCACTGAAAGCGCATCGCCGGAAATCCTGAAATAAATTCAGGAATAATGCGAGCACCAGGATTTGAACCCTGGTGGATTGGGGATACCACTGTCCACCTAACCAACTCAACCACAGGTTGATTCACATCAAACTAGAAGTTTTGTTTTTGAGGGATCAAACTAGCACAACATATCAGTTCAAATTGAACGTGCGCTTGGGGCCTGAAAATGCGCATATTCATATTCGTGGCATAAGTGGTCAGTGTCTACACCACCAGCATTAGCAGCCTTCTTCAGGCAATTGAACTGGTGAGGCTGTCATCTTAGGTTTTTACTGATCGGACCGCTAGTTCAACTGGTTCAGTAGCGACAAAGAGCAGACATATTTATGTTATTTTTCCTAAAAATTGACCTCTAATCAAATAAATACCCATAATATTGGTTGTAATCCATTATTAGATCACCAATTGTAGCTTTTTCGAAAAGGGGGATGACCCCCGGCCTCTGCATCAGGGCGATGCATATAGGCATTTTATTAATTATTAGCCGACACCTTATTACAACGAAATACGTTAATAAGTCAGAACGCACCTTCTTTGGCAACTTCAGTGGGCGCCGCCACCGATATATCTTGTCTCCTTAGGGCCATGGAGGCGTGGTGGATATCAGCACTTGCCGGTGGGAGGGTTCCGTTTTTAGATGTTTTTTTTTTTAGTTTTGTTAGCATTTGTGTCCTGCTTAGAGAGGCGAGGCGGCAGCTCTCTACAGCTCGAACTTTTTCTAAAAATGATTCAGTCCTTACATATCCAAGTCTTTTCTTTTCTGAGGAAACAACATATCATTACTTAGTTCATGCTTTTGTTTGTGACAACAAAGAACAAAAATAGAAGGCGGTCTGCGGTGGATTTTCTACGATGACTATATCACAGTTCCAAGTCCTTTGGTTACAATATCCTTGATGTTCCATACACAGCGCTGAAGGTTGCAAGTGTTGGCTACTGGATTTTTTCTGTCTATTGTAAAAACGGTTCATGTATCTGTTAAGATTTCAACCACGCTATCCTTCGTTCAGGCTATGCTATTGGCACGATGAATATTTGCATTGAGACAGTCAGTCGGCCTCTGAAACCAGGCATTTCTTCATTTTTCTTTAATATTTTTTCTTTGTTTCTTTTGTCTTTCGAACTTTCCATGGCAAGCCGCGTGATTTTGCCTTTGCTATCAGCCCTTTCCATGTTTTGGGACTACCGTGACGGAAGGAACCTGGAATTGCCATGCAAATACTTTCAAGGCTACCTAAGCTATGGATACATGTCGGCTCTCATTATTCCATCGTATACCAAGGGTCACTAGTCCGGTCTCCAACTCTTCATATGGACATCTGGCGTTGGCAATTCTAGCCTTACGAGAGGTTCAAGAGTTTATTCCGTAGAAGCTTCATTGTTCTCGTAATAGTCTCTACTCTTAATGGAGCAGTTGGTAGGATTATTTCTAGGTTTATTTTGTCCCATCATTTTCGTCCGGTTTTTTCGACTGGTTATTTTTCGTCCCCTCACCCACCCCACCGTTTTAGATTCGCGTCACCCTCGCACAGAACGAAAAAATCTAAACGGATCAGAATTTTCCATGCTGGCGCAAGTTATTTAGTGTCTTTATGTGAAAGAATCAATCACGATCAATCTCTAAAGGTTAAATCTAAATTAATTAACCTTACCTTAAATCGCTCAATCACATTAATTAGGAAACAAATAACTGAATTTGAAAATCATAACAAAGAAATATTATTATTAAAGCATTTATATACCTACTTAATTTGTAATGAAATATTATCTCTACTTCAAATGTCTCACTTGGTAGTCTAATCTCCACGGTTATTTCGTCTTCACTTTCGTCTGATTTTTTTCGTCCGCCTCCAAGCACCGTTTGTTTTTTGTCTTTCCTCTTGCAGACAAGAAAAAGAAAACCAGGCAACAAGTCTCCCCTTGATCTGTTTCCTACATCCATCGTCAAGGATGCCCAGCCGCCATAACAGAGTCCATCGCCGCCGCTGAGGCCCGAAGGAGCCGCTGCCGTCTTCCCCACACAAAGCTCCACCCCCTCCCTCGCTAGCACCGTCCTCCACTCACCTTCTTTCCTTAAAGCGGGGAAGCCCCAAATCGAGTCGAGCAAGTCCGCCGAGCGGCGGCCAGATCCGCCACGGCTACATCTTGTACCTATGCATATAGTGCTTACATGGACCATTAATTGTCGCGGGGGCGTGGAACATGTGACAACATATATAAAATTCGTCTCCATATTCATATATAACACACAAAGCTACCAAACTAGACGTAGTAGTGCTGGCAGAGAATGAAAACATAGTGCTTGTATAGTAAATGCTTTGGACAAGTTAAAGCGTAGTCTTGTGCTTCGTAATGACCGTCGTACACCACAGGATTGGACTGGACTTTCTCATAGAAAAGAAAAGAAAAAAAACTAGAGGACTTGACCGATGCCATACGGAACTGGTTTTGAGCACAATGGGCTTTAAATAGGTTACGCAGCACTTGGACTAGCTAGGTACTCACTCTTGGGGAATTCCATCTCTTGGGCATTGGCCACTGCATGATCAGAGACGGAGCACGAGGTGGAATGTGGCGTCGTCCTGGATGGCATAGTCATCCATGGTGCGACCATCTTCTAGGTGTTTCCCCGCATAGATGAGCTTCTGGTAGTCGGTAGGAATGCCGTCTCTGTCCTGGATCATGGCCTTGACACAAGCGATGGTGTCGAGGTTCTCGAAATGATGCGTGGTGGTCTTGCCAGTCAACCCTTTGAGATAAATTCGGATCTTCCTTCTCAGGCAGCGCAGATGGAGGCGAATAGTGGATTCATCCTTGATGCCGTAATCGGCCACGGTGCGTCTGTCCTCCAGCTCGTCCTCGCCAAAGGTAAGGCGCTGTTGATCCTGAATCTTGGCCTTGACGACGTTGATGGTGTCAGACGGGTCGACGTTGATGCTGATCATGGTGCCGATGAAGGTCTCGACAAAGAGCTTCATCTGGTGAATTGAATGAGAGCAAAAAGCATCAGCAATTGTGAGTTCCAGCTACGGATGATCCGACAATGAACAAAACAAAACTTAATTAACCCATTGACGGACGGTGATCAATTAATTAAGCAACCTATAATGGAGTACTACCTTCAAGTCTGCTACAGATGAGATCAACAGCTAACTCCCGTACCTTTCGGCGTGAACTCGATGACGACGGACGGAGAGGCGGAAGGAATCTCGGGATCGATCGATGATATGGTTTGTTGGCTCCAAATCGATAGATGGATGGAGACGTACGTGAATCTCGGGAAGGATGTGTGTGCATATATCGCCAACGGCCCACATCCCACGGGTATGGAGGGTTTAATCTGCAGGCAGGTTCCTTCCAAGGCAAGCCGCGTGATTTTGCCTTCGGTATCGGCCCGTTCCATTTTGTTTGGACTACCGTGATGGAAGGAACCTGGAATTGCCATGCAAATACAAGGCAACCTAAGGTATGGATACATGTCGGCTCTGATTATTCCATCCGATAGGAATGGTCTAGTCTGGTCTCCAGCTCTTCATATGGACATCCGGCGTTGGACATTCTAGCATTATCAGAGGTTCAGAAGTTTATTTCGCAAAAGCTTCATTGTTCTCATAATAGTACTCCCTCTAAACTAATATAAGAGCATTTAGATTACTAAAGTAGTGATCTAGATGCTCTTATATTAGTTTATGGAGGGAGTAGATAATAGAGTGGCAGATTGTTTAGCGAGGTATAGTCGTATTGAATGTAACACCATCGTTTGCTTACACATCGGGCCTCCATGTACTGAGGAATTCTCGCCTCTACACTATAACTCTATAATTTTGAAATAAAACTTATTTTTCACCCCGCAAAAAAATACGAGATTGTCACAAAAGAAAGGGATTGTCATAATATGCAGCATAGGGGTTGAACAAACTAGCGAAACAAGATATAAGTTCAGAGTTTGGAGACGCCCCACAAATTTGTAGGGTTTGTTTTTCTCTCTTTACTGAAAACAGACCCCTACGCGTCGGCGGACCTATACAGGACTACGTTGGATGGCAAACTGCATCCGTTCATCGCGGGCCGGACCCTTGCGGAAGATTTAAGGGTCCACTTTAAAGATGTCCTTACACCAACAGCATCAATAACCTCCTTCGATCTTCAAGGGCCGAGCTTAGCTCGTCTTGGGCTGCCCCATAGACGACATTCCACAAAAAGTTGTACTAATTTCATAATTCTCGTCCAATGACCACACATAACTTAGACCTCTCCGAATCTTTTTTAGTGATTCAAATCTATCATAGAAGTCCATTGTCGAAAATAATAAAAAATTACATTGAGATCTCTAGACCTCCCCTGATCATTCTATTTTTTTAACACATGAGTCCAATGCGGATGCTCACATGCATACACATACACTCACCCATGTGAACACTCGCACGCACACCCTATCCCTATGAGCACACCTGAGATACTGAGTCAACACAACATTTTGAGATTTATGAAGTCACCACATACACCTTCGTGATCGATAGGAACGTCTCCTTCCACTGAACGAACATTGTCGGAAAGTCTGAAATAAATCTAGAGCAGTGCCATGTCTAGGACTAGAACCCTTGTGGGCTGGTAAGATCACAAGGAACCCAACCATCCGATTTGAACTCAGTTTGCCTAATCATTCTTATATTAATAATCATTCTAAAATTTATCTTCATATGTCTAGCTTCAATTTCTACACCATCGCCTACTTTTAATTATTTCAATTGGAATCCTACTAATCGTTAAGAACTTCGATGGATTTGCCAAAATATATTTTGTTGCCAAATTATTACTAGAGAAAAAGCATCATCCACAAAAATAGATTTATCTAAGTCAAATTTCCATGGACACGCGACGTCCGCAGATATTCCTTATTTGTCTGTAAAATATGGTGGTACCCTATGCGATGCACCAAATATCCGCCATCTTTTCCCAACCGCCAATCTTTTGTGAAATTTGCACAAACAAAGCATCCAAAACCAACCAAATTGACGCACGAACGTAGCTCATTAATCATAATCTCAACATAAAAACATATCTAGTTATACATTCACCATAGTCTCATCATACAAGATTGCTAATTATCGATGCCACATTCAAAGTTGCATAGTAACTAAACATAGAAGTAATGAACTAAACATATATCATATCATAACATGCAAACATAACATATATAGCATAGTGGCTGGAGCACGGGTGACCAAAGTCGAGTTGGATGGCGAATGCGCTCATGCGATCACTGGCGTATGTGTCATTGTCATACCCCTCCAGTCGTTGTAGTCATGGCAGCGTGTGGTTGGGTTGTGGCGGCATCGAGGTTGGGCTACGGTTGCTCGGGTTGGGTTGTGGTGGTTTTCGCATTCAGACTGTCCGAGGCCCTGCTATAGCAGCCTCATGTTAATGCGGCGACGGCAGCAGGCATCAGACTGCGATGAGGTCATGGACTGGCAATTCGCCTCATGGGACTACCTCCGGTCGCCCTAGAACTACTCGAGTGTGTCTTAGTCTAGGTCGTCTGGCCATGCCACAAAGCTTGTTGCATTGGCCGGGAGAACGCTATGCGAGTCAGGCATTGTGCAAGCTTAATCCACCGACTTAGAGGGCGTTGCGCAAGCCAGCCGAACTATGGGACCTCAATTAGTTGATAGAGAGGACGCCGCATAAGCTGAATCCATGGCGTGGTGGTGGCGACACCAATTCATGGCGTAGTTGAGAGCGCAGGGATAGAACCCCTCGAGGAGGTAGTCATGGACGTGGCGGATTGGCAACGCGTCTACCTCCACCACTTTAGCTCCGTCATCTTGGGGCTCATCGGCGGCAGATGGAGAATGACAACGTTGTCCCGTGGTTGGGGAGAGGCGATCATAGGCGGTGGCGTCACGCTTGAGAGGGAAGGGTGTGACCGACAAAGTGGACAGACGAGAGACTGAGTGAGGAGTAAACGGTGGGGGTGGAGGAAGTGAGGTGTTCCCCATGTGTCTGGCCGACCTGGCGAATAGTTTAGACTTCTCACTTCTCCCTTTGATTTGAGACCAATGTAGAGGCTTTTGGACTGCCTAGACATATGGGCCGAAAGTAGGGCAGTCCACTGGTAGGATTTTAACGTTTAGACTATTCTAGAAATTATATATACCACACACAACCATCGTCCGATCTGGAACACCAGATCCTAGGTTTTCCTCCGGAGCAGCACGAGTGGTTCGACAGTAGTTACACGACAATGCCTTCATCAAGGTAAGAGCACACAACGCCGCCATCGCATGTCCTCGGCTCGGTTTTCATTGGCAAATATGTCTCCCCAACTCGCAGCCGGGACTAGATGACGGATCTCGAGATCCGTCCACCCAGCCTCTGGCCGGCCACCTCCGACGGAGAAGATGACCACCACCGCCGGCTGCACCGGCTAGAACAGATCTGATCGAAGGTGCCGCCAAGCGGTCCACCAGGCCCTCGACGTTGCCGCCAATCCAAAGCCGGATGACGCGCCGCCACAGCATAGACCGCTGTTGGGGAACGTTGCAGAAAATAAAAAATTTCTACGCTTCACCAAGATCAATCTACGGAGTCATCTAGCAACAAGAGAGAGGAGTGCATCTACATACCCTTGTAGATCGCGAGCGGAAGCGTTTAAGAGAATGGGGTTGATGGAGTCGTACTCGTCGTGATCCAAATCACCAAAGATCCTAGTGCCGAACGGACGGCACCTTCGCGTTCAACACACGTACGGTTGGGGAAGACGTCTCCTCCTTCTTGATCCAGCAAGGGGGAAGGAGAGGTTGATGGAGATCCACCAGCACGACGGCGTGGTGGTGGAAGTAGCGGGGAATCTCGGCAGGGCTTCGCCAAGCTCTGCGAGAGGGAGAGGTGTTGCGGGGGGAGAGGAAGGCGCCAGGGGCTAGGGTGCGCAGCCCTCCCTCCCCCCTCTTTATATAGGGTCCCTGGGGGGCGCCGGCCCCCTAGAGATCCAATCACAAGGGGGGGCGGCCAAAGGGGGGACTTGCCCCCCAAGTCAGGTGGGGCGCCCCCACCCCTAGGGTTTCCAACCCTAGGCGCAGGGGGGGGCCCAAATGGGGGCGCACCAGCCCACTAGGGGCTGGTTCCCTTCCCACTTCATCCCATGGGGCCCTCCGGGATAGGTGGCCCTACCCGATGGACCCCCGGGACCCTTCCGGTGGTCCCGGTACAATACCGGTGACCCCCGAAACTTTCCCGGTGGCCGAAACTTGACTTCATATATACAAATCTTCACCTCCGGACCATTTCAGAACTCCTCGTGACGTCCGGGATCTCATCCGGGACTCCGAACGACTTTCGGGTTACCGCATACTAATATCTCTACAACCCCAGCGTCACCGAACCTTAAGTGTGTAGACCCTATGAGTTCGGGAATCACACTGACATGACCGAGACAGCTCTCCGGCCAATAACCAACAGCAGGATCTGGATACCCATGTTGGCTCCCACATGTTCCACGATGATCTCATCGAATGAACCACGATGTCGAGGATTCAAGCAATCCTGTATACAATTCCCTTTGTCAATCGGTACGTTACTTGCCCGAGATTCGATCGTCGGTATCCCAATACCTCGTTCAATCTCGTTACCGGCAAGTCACTTTACTCGTACCATAATGCATGATCCCGTGACCAACCACTTGGTCAGATTGAGCTCATTATGATGATGCATTACCGAGTGGGCCCAGAGATACCTCTCCGTCATACGGAGTGACAAATCCCAGTCTCGATCCGTGTCAACCCAACAGATACTTTCGGGGATACCTGTAGTATACCTTTGTAGTCACCTAGTTACGTTGTGACGTTTGGTACACCCAAAGCACTCCTACGGTATCCGCGAGTTACACGATCTCATGGTCTAAGGAAATGATACTTGACATTCGAAAAGCTCTAGCAAACAAACTACACGATGTTGTGCTATGCTTAGGATTGGGTCTTGT